TTTAATTAATAATTAATAAAATTTATCATATTTCATTCATAATACTTTTAAAAAATAAATAATTAAATACTAAAATGACCAAACACCAAAATAATTTTCAACCATAATTACATCACAGTATAGTCTAACACAGCCACAGCTATAGCACAGCCACAACTATAGCTACAGCCATAGCACTTTATAACAATCCTAAATGCACCCTTAATGGATTAACTGATCGGAAAGACTAAAAAAATACATTTTTCATAGTTAAGAGATAAAAAAAATACAAAAAAAAGTTGAGGGATGAAAATTGTGTAAAACTTTAAAGTTGAGGAACCAAAATTGACATTTAACCTTTTTTTTTTTCTTGGTTGCACAATAGGAAGTAATTATCTCCCATCTCTTATCCCACTCGATCTGTATACCATGCGATTTAAACTCAGAACTCTTACTTTCAATGAAAAAAAATAATCACAAAGTTATTTAGGTCATCGATGACTTTTAACTTTTCTTAAATACACACATTCCATTTAAACATGTACACATAAAATCAATTTGAAAAAAATTAATTCTAAAATATACAAAAATAAACTCTTAAAAAATAAAAATAATCACCAATGCAGCCACCTAATGCCGGTGGCATTGTGCCACCTTGGTAGCGCCTTGTTGTTTGTTACTTCTACTGATAACATCACCTAGTTGTTTGTTACTGCTACATGTAACATCACCTACTTAATGTCGCTGATGCATTCTCCTGTTGTGATCCATTGATAGTCACTGCAGCCTAAAAGGACTACCAATGGATTGTATCTCTGATCAGTGGTCGAACCTTACCAAGAGTAAGGTATTAACCTATCTTCTAACTTCTAACTTCTAACCATTGCCTCTGTCAAAAAAAAAAAAAAGAAAAATGTCACTAATATTTAATTTGACTTTAGGGCACAATGACACATTTATTAATAATTTTTTAATGTGTATTCATACATTTATCATATGTTTTTAATAATTAATTTATATAAAATATTAATATTAATTTAATTAATTAACCTATTAATATTATTCATGTAACAAATGGTATTAAAATAAAAATTAATTTTGAGTATATTTTTTTATATAAATTAA